TTTTTTTTTTTCTTTTTTTTTCCTCATTTGCATTTTTTCCTCTTTTTTTAAATCCTTTTCACAAAAGCCAGGTTTACTGATGATCATGCCTGCTTTTCTAGGTATTTCTGTCTTATAGATGCATTTTTTTTCTGTATGTAATATTCGCTCGCATCATTCTTATATGTTTTATTGTGTATATGTGAAATGATATGATGGCGCAGGTAACATACAAGTTCCATACTTATTAAATTTGTATTAAACTCGAGCGAAATCTAAATTATCGCATATGGAAGCGAGTTTAAATCGCACTCTAATTAATTTCATTGTAATTGGATTTATTTAAGAATAACTTGTTTTTTATTTTAAGTCTGCAAATTTATATAATGTGCAATAGATAATTTATTTATTTCCAGGCACGATCATATTAATAATTTTATATTATATATATTTAAAAAAATCTTGAAAACATTTTTTTTATATAATAAATTTTATCAATGATAATTATTTTATTATAATTCTTTAATCTATCACAAAAAAAAAATAATATTAAAATATAAATATAAAAAATTGTACTTGTGAGAATCTTTGCTTCTTAAATAGAAGTATTACTATTCGATTCTAAAAATATCAAACTTTTTTACTTTTCTTACAAAAACATCGTTTTTGTTTCGAGATTAATTAGAGGCGATCATTCTCGCGAAAAGTTTCGGTGTAGCGAAAATTCGACTAACATATACCTACATATACACATACATATAGTAATATATATCGTGCATATCTGGTTTAGTAAGTTAATTAATTATAGTTACGCGGATAACTTTTGTCACGTTGGTTTCGTTGTTCTTTTTTACCGTGTTTTCGAACATATGTAATTTTAAAATAACGCATGTTTCCTTTCTTTCTACATTTCTCTCTTCCTTAAACCATTTCTTTCTTTTATTGGTACTCGTTTGCTTATTGACAATGGATACCTATTACGATGAAAGGCGACAGTAATTGTTTTATCGCTGCGTTTAAGAGCGCCACGGTAGTTCAGCGTAGTTACGTTTAAGTAAGTATTTTGGTCCTCTTTAGAGTCTTCTAAACGTTTAATTATGTGATGAATAGAAATAGCAATCGGTCTCTCGTTGCTGCGAGAAGCGAAGGAAAATGAATT